AGTGAATGTCTCCATTTTTATTAAATACAAACTAATAGTCTATTACTGTTAATATGGACTTTGGGATAATTTTTTTAAAAATTTATTAGTTGTTATGTGGTAAAAAGTTTGTGGGGAGAGAGAGAGAGAGAGATTTACATTCTAATTTTGTATGAAGATTCAGCATATACACATACGAAATAGAAGAATATGTCGGGGATTCTAGAGTTTTTGCTTGGAAAACTAGAAAAGAAAATTACATTATATATTTGAATTTATTGAAATTTGCTTCTTTGTCATAGTTAAAGGTGATAAGATTATAAAGTTGAAGCACTTAATTATTATCATGTTATTGTTGTAGAGATGGAGAAAAGTTGTATGGACATTATGATAGTACTCATAGGATGTAATTCATGGGATAATATTTGGCGAGTGTTGGTTGAACGATGACATTCAAGTTATGATAGTTGTGCGAGGCAGCAATTTATCACATTTGGTTTTTGGTGGTTAGATGATGGGGAATGAACTATAGTGGACAGATGACGATGGTCAAAGGCTACAACATGTAACAATAGTCCAGTGATGGTACCATAATGATAATGATAGTTGGCGACTATCATTTGCTTTGAGCATTGGGTACATGTCTTCGATCTCCAACTTCTCTCTCTTAAATTAAGGTTCTTTCACGAGGAGAATGAGAGCTTATTTATGTCATTTTGGGAGTAGCAATTTTAGCAAATTTGGCCAATTTTAATGATACCCTATCTAAGGGGCCATTTTGAATCATTTCATCATAAATAGTTATTCAACATTTAAGTACGTTAATGATTTGGAATTGAACTATTTTGGACTTATTGAATTTTTCTTGTCAAGATGCTAGATTTGCTTATAATCTTATAAGATTTGTAGACCATTCATTCTTGAATTAATATCCCAAAATTTTAAATATATTTCAAGTGCTTGATTTGGGTTCATTTAGACATGAAGCTTATTAATTTTTGTTTTACTAGGTTAATCTTGCAAAGATGTTCAATTAGACTTTCAATTTGCTTAATTGGAGCTCATACGATTTTGAATTTTCTTTGAATGTTTTAATATATGTCATGCATTAAGATTCATGCAGATCAAGTAGAATTTTTTATAAAAAAATATCATTTGCCCTTTTTTTTGAATGTTGAAGTTATGTCACCCAAAATATGCATTAATTTCTTGAAAAATTTTGTGATGGAAAATTATAAAATTAAAAAAATTATAAAGCGTGACCACTCTCATGTGGACCTTCCATCAGAGATCATAAACCAAATAATGTTGCTTCAATTATAATTTTAGCATTCGGTGAAGTCAACACATTAATTAAAACAAGAATTTGCCAAAAAGAAAAAATATTTGTTCTGTTTCTTCAAAATTTCTTGTACATAGTTTTCGAGGCCCCACGTCCTCTTAATGTCTCAACATTAAACTATAATCATACAAAATTAGTGGGACAGGCATGCATGCTCAAAATTAGGGTCAAAATGGTATGACCACCGTTCTAATTCCAATGGCATGTGAATGCGCACGCAGTTGAATGCTGGTGTTCTTGCACGTGGGAAGACGTGTGCTATTATAGTAACTCCCACCCTTTTTTATATAAAATATTTTAATCATTAAGTATATGTTTTTTACAGTTGAAAAAATTGCCAAAATTTTCATGTAAGAAGCTTTTTTTTTTTTGAAATTATAGATGGATTGTATTTCTTCTTGTAGGCTATAGTGTATATTTACTAAGGGTACCAAATTATCCTAAGAAAGTTGCAAGTGACGTCCAAAATTTGCATCCTTCTTCAATAGAGCTCAGAAATTTTTCGTTTTCAAATGAGTTGATTGTTCTCCATCAATTCTTTATTTTTTTTACCACGAGTAATATTCCTTTGAAATTGTGATGCTAAAATATAGACAAGCTAGGAATATTATCCCAAAAATACATCTAATTTTATTCAGCACTCTATTTTCTTCATTTTTGAATGTTTTTCTTGTTTAGTTTTTGAGCAAATCCTCAAAATTTTGATTCAATTTTCTTGTTGAATGATCTTGTGTGTGTGTTTGTATATTTCTATCAAAAAATTTCATTGTGAAATTTCATCTTTTTATATTTTTAGGAGAATTTTCATGTTCATACAAAAAAATTGTCATTTTGTTGGGTAAAAAATTTATGAATGTGCACATTATAAAATCTTTTTTTTTTTTTTTGTGATTTGTTGAGTTTTCCAAATTAGTTGAAATCTTTTGTAGGTACTCTCATTGATGTGTAAAGTTCTTACAGTAATTTTACAATTTTTCTCAGAACTGTTTTTTTTCTAAAAGAATTTTAAATAATAATTTCTTCACTTCAATACTTTACAAAAGTTCATTAAAAATTTAGATAAATAAAATATGAGTATTGTTCTCTTTGGACTTAATGTACTCCTTATAGTCATTATATACTTGTAACATCATTTGTTGTCAAAATTTTCATATTTTGATCAAAGATTAATGCAAAAAAAAAAAAACATATATAAACCTTCCCTTGAAACTCCTATGTCAATTGTCAAGTGAATTTTAATCGATTTAATATTGATGCTTTGATGATTCCTATAAAAAAAATTATTTTTTGAATGATTTTATGATTATAGTTTTGGCAGATCTAATCGAGCTTGATTTCCACCATTATGCTATATTACTATTGATCAGAAGACTTTGTGAGCAGGCCTTTGATTTGCCTTAGCTCTTGAATTGATTGAGTTGTTATAGTTTTTGAGATTAGCTTTTCTCAAATTTTACGCAGCGATATGATAATAGTTGTTAGAATGGTCATCCTCTTTAGAGAGCATGTAATAACATTTACACCAAAGTATTTGTGAAGGATATGCAAGCTTACTTGTGATGCTCATGGATGTATTCCATGTAGAAGTTGATGGTTGGAATTAGGGTCCAATAATTCTACAAAAAGTGATCAATATATACAAGAAGGTATTACACACAGTATCATAACTGTCATTCGACAAAATCTTAAAAGCTGATGAATAAATTAATTGCTTATCCTAAAAATCAGAAATAAGATTAACGTTATCCAGATTCCGCCTCCGCTCACTAAGTTATATCCCTGTTCCTTGATGGAAACTCATAATCTAAATCAAGTTTAAGAGGCTACTTCATTAAGAATAGACTAGGGGTGCAAACGAGTCGAGTCGAGCTCGAGTCATAGGTGGTTCGAGCCTGGCTCGTTAATGATACAGTTGGCTCGAACTCGAGCTCGAGCTCGACTCGAGTCAAGAGCTCGAGCTCGAGCTCGACTCGAGAGACCGATTCCTGGCTCGAATCCGACTCGTTAGCTCGAGCTCGAAAGGTTGGCTCGAGCTCGACTCGATTGTTGGCTCGATAATCTGCTCGAACTGAAATTTTTTTTGTAAAAAATTCACCACCAAAATGATTTTTTTATGTATTACTGATTATTTTTGAATTAAATGCTTTCAATAAATTCAACTTTTAAACTGAATTAAATGCTTTCAATAAATATTCCTTGCAGGCTTCATTTGATATGGTTCAAGACACTTTTTTATTGGTTTCAAAAACATTTTTTTTTCTGTAAATCTATAACAGCCATATATCTTATTTACTATTAAACTGTAATACCAAGCAATTTCATCAAACAGCCATATATCATAGAACCAAAGTTCTTCATCAAAAATAATATTTAAAGATTACAGTTGACAAAATTTTCACCACCAAACATTTTTAAACGTCTACGGATGGGGAGATTATTAGGTGCGGATGAGACGGGGAGAACCGTCTGCACAAGCACTATACCCAGCTAGGTATTGACACTCAATACAATTAAGTACCAAGTACTTGTGCGAACGATGCACACACTGCACCAAATAATTTTTCCTACACACACAACTCTCCTTGGCCTATTGGTTGAGAGCTTAGGCTTCCAACTAAGATGTCCAAGGTTCGAGTCTATGTGTATGCGTTGTGTGTGCGAGTTTGCTTTAAATGGCCTAAATGTCCCAAAAAAAAAAATTTCCTACGGATGACCGCACACAACTTAATTAATCCATCAATCCAGTCCCGCACTTATTTCGAACTTTCTCCAATTAATTATTTCACCGGACTTATCGCACCCCCATTTCCCACCCACCACACGCTCCTCATATTATTGATAACGTGATGACGTCACAAATCAGGTTACAGATTGACGTCGCAATCGGAAAAACACGTGTCCTTTTAATGGCACTAGTGGTAGTAACGGGGTAGGGGAATCTATTCCCCTTCCAACGTTTCCGTAACACGTGTACAATGCTTACACAATCTGCTCCCGTTTTCCCCCTTTAAAAAATAAGGCCTACACCGCCACGTGTCCCAATGTCCCATCAAAGTTTGGACACAAGCTGACCTCCCATTGGCTGAGATCTTCTCCTAAATTTTCTTATGAGATCACATGATAAGGCAAATTAGGTGGAATACAATTATGTGGGAAATGAAATTTTTTAATATTTATATATCCATTTAGAATTTTAAAATAAAATAAAATGCATGCATAATTTAATTTTAAAATATTTTAAAAAAAATTATAAGAATTATTTATGTATATCACAAAATTTTTATATATTTATATAATTAATATCTATATTTTTATATTTACTTAAAATTTTAAATTATTAATCACATTAAAAATATTAAAGTAAAATTATGTATTTTCATATATACACTTTAATTTATATATTAGTGATATATAATATAATGTAAGTATATAAAAAATCTTTATGATAGGATGTAAATTTATCAAAAAATATTATTAAGGACCTATTTCCATCATTTATTTATTTTATTTCATGTAATTGTTATAAATTATAATAATACTTTACTATATTATTTTTTATTTTTAAAATGTTTATCAATAAGTGCTCGGTTGATATTAAAGAATTCTTATCCTTTTTAAAATTTAAAAAATATAGAATATGTTAATACCTAATTAAACTTTTAAAAATCTATATTTTTATCATAATTCTACAACAATTTTTCAATTTGAGCTTCAGCTGAGCGAAAACAGATCCCCATTGGAGTAATCGTCAATTTTCCGCCGTACCATCTTCTTTTTATCCCCCCTCACCGCAGTCTGCACCATGGAAATCATGTCAAGGGAGCCATTCGGCGACTCCCAGCTCGGAAGAATAATGCTAAAGTTCCGCCCGATAGCTCCGAAGCCGCCCGCCGTCGGCGCTCTTTTCGCCGCCGTTTCAGACCGAGCCGGAACCGCTCCGATGATGAAGAGACGGAGAGGCGGGAGGAAGCCGAAGAAAATAACAACAGCGGTAAAGAAGGAAACGGGTGCTGTTGTGACGGTGGAGAGAGTCACAGAAGTCGGCAGAGGGGAAGCCGCCGCCGCCTCCGGCAAGGAAATCAAACGGCGGCTTGAAGCCGACGCGTCTCCCTGCTTCGTCTCCGACTCTGCAGACCGCGTTACGTGGATCAACGCGGGGTTCAGGAGGATGGTTTTATGCGAGGAGTCGTCGCCGTTGATGAGGGTGGAGCTGGTGACGCGTGGGACGGTGCCGGGAGGGGAGTGTGGGGGGTTCACGTGCGTGGCACGTGTGCGGCGGGGGAAGTTGGTGATGGTGGTGCCGTGCGATGTGTGGCGGGTGGTGGAGGAGAAATTAGGGAAGTGGGCGTGGCGGCTCGACGTGGCCACGGCGCTCGGGCTTGGGCTCAGCTGCGCCTACTGAAATGTAAAGGAAGCTGTTGAGGCTATATTTGTAATTATCTTTTTGCAGAAAGGAAGACGGTGGGTGAAGCCGTGAAGGAGATGAATCCAGCGGCGCCGGCGATGTGAGCTACCGACGATGCGTTGGAGAGGAGGAATTATTATGTGCGGAGCGAGGAACACATCGCTTTGGCTTTTGCCAGCATAATTTGTATAATTAGCGATTGAATTATTGTTAAAAGTTTTTGGATTAGTCTAATCTAAGTTTTGTTTATTGCATGAGTTCTTGATATTTATGTTTAATTTAGGTATTAATTAAAATTATGATAATGCTGATGATTGACTTAATTAGGTTTGTTTGGAACTTTATGAAGTTGGAAGATGAGCTCATTATAAAATACTTTTAATGAGCATAAATGAAGATTCTATCAATTTTAAATATTTGAATGAGAGTGTTGTTTATGTAAATTAATTATAAAAACTTATTAACTATAAATATTTTTAAAGTATTAGGAGCTAATTAGAGCTATCATATATAAATAATTTTAAAACTAATTTGTTCTAATGCCCAAAATATTTTTCTCATTTAACTCTAACGCTTAGAAGATGATTTATCCACTCTTAATTTTAAATCAAATGTGAGAAAATTGTTTGGGTTTCAAAAGAAAAAAAAATATTTGAAAAAATCATGAAGTGTTCATCATTTATTGAAGATATATGACAATTAGAGTAATTCTTAATTTATTCTCTTGATCTTAGAGTGTTTTTTTGTGCATAAAAGATTTTGGAAGATTTTCTCTCTCTCTCTCTTTTTTTTTTTAACTTTTGATTAGAGGGGTGTCATTATCCCCAAGTTTAGTGACTGTGCCTAATTTTCTCCTATGAAGTTAAAAAATAGGTGTAAATAATATCTACATTATCTTGATGTGAATGAGTGATTAGTAGTGAAATTCTAAGGGGTGCTAGGATGTTAGATGTAAGGTTGGTCGGGCCAAACCATATAAATATTATTATAATTAAACTTTTATAATTATATTTACTTTATATCACTCTTGGATTATGATACATGATTATAATATTTTGGATGATTATATCATCAAATGCTAATATTATATAAATATTGTGAAGTTAGAGCCTTATAATTTAATAATATTCATTAACTTTTATAAGAACCAACATTAGTGTTAGGGCTTCATCATACGATAGCTCGGAAGTGTCTCTGCACTCTGCTAGGGCTTCGTCCAAGTCACCTCCCCCGCTTTGCTAAGGCTTCTCCCTAGTTGCCTTCCTCATTTCTTGTTCCTCAACAAGGTGTCGCTCTCGCCTTCTCATGTTGTTGTCTGCCTCTTCTCCTTTTTGAGGGGAGTTTATTCTATACATCAATTTTTTGTTTTTTTTTATTCTCTTTGGCTCAGTTTTGTTAGATCAGGTTTGAGATTTATGTTGGAACATCTTCTTCTAAAATGTCCAATGTTTCTTTAAAAAGAAATGATCATGGCTCTCTTGCTTATAAAAATCAATCGAAATCATTCAAAGATGTTTGTCTGGCTTTGATTTTTCAAATGTTTTTTTTCCGGATCTAAATGCTACTACTCATTGGGGTTTAACTGGTTTATTGATTTTTTTAGAAAGAAGTTCAATTTGTTTCTCACCCATTCGAATTTTCATTGATAGGAAAGTTTCCTTTGCATAGGCATGTTTTAGATTCTATCCATAATTTTTTTTTTCAACTTGAAACTCTCAGGTGATTTCTCGGTCACTCCCTTGGATCATGAGAGGCATGTGTTGAATAAGTTATCCAACAATTTAGACTATATATAGTAGGTTTTTTGTGCATATATAACATTATGTTAGTAAATGCTTTATGAAAATGATAAAATGGTCATTTTTTTCGATATTTCGAAGGAGTCTCAAATTGTTTCTGTTTAGATTTATTTTCGGATCTCCGCCTGCATTTATTCTCTCATCATATTCTACATGGCCTAGGATCTTTGTTTGGTCGACCACTTCAAATGGATAACACCACGCCATTGACTCCAAGCTGTCGATGGCCCGTATTCTTGTTGAACTAAACATTACTAAAAAAATACCCTAATTCAATTTGGCTTGGTCCATAAAAAAATTGGATAAATTCATAAAGTGTTTTAGGATGATTTCCAAGATTTTTGTGACCACTGTAAATCTATTGGCCACAAAAAATTTGATTGTTTTTATTTAGATGCTCACTTGAGAAAGTCTTTTGTGTTTAAGCCTGTTTCAGATTTAAATGGTATTGGTCCTGTTCCTACTGTGGGATCTGACACTACAGCAAAGTTGACAAATTACGACAAACTTTGCGATGAAAAATTTCATCTATGAAATTATAATTAACGGATTTGCGACCAATTTTTTTGTCAAATTATTTGTCATGAATTTACGACGGATTTTGTTGTGAATTTTTTGCCACAAATACACTACAAATCTGTCAAAAATTCATCGATAATCTGATACAAAGAACCATATCTAAACTGGCTAATTGGCTATTTCTTTCATTCGCTCATTCTGAATCTCCTTCGACGACCCCCTACCTCCTTTGATGATGTTCCCTTGCCTCCTTCGATGATGTTCCTTCATGTAGCATCCTAAGTCCTCACCGTTTATAGATCTCATTTTCTTTGATGACGTTCCCCTGCCTCCTTTGACAGCATTCTTTCCTATAGCGTCTGAAGTCACACTTCCTCATTTTTCAGAGTCGTCTCCCCTCTCACAGAGGCTATCTTGCATCCTTCGGTGACGTTCCTTATTGTCATCTCATTCGGCAATGTTCCTTCCTCTATGTGGTATGTTTGCTCATTGAGAAGGTATTCATCTTTCTTTCTTATCATGAATAAATTCTTCATAGTGATAATGTAATAGATAGATATATTATTAATAGAATTCATGTGTTATTGTGGAGGAATGCATCAGGCTTATTGTGTGATAGAAAAATTTTCTTCAAACAAAATATTAAGTTGTGTTGCAGAGATGAGGATCCTTAGGTGGCTTCGTTTGGGATGACTTTCTTACTGCTTATTAAATCAATTTTATGTATTAAAAAACTGCTTTAAAAAACAGTAAGAAGTTATTCCAAACGAAGTCTTCATGCTTCTTAAAATAGCTTTTTAGTACAAAAATTAAATTTTTTGTACTGAAAGCTGCTTTAAGAGGCATTAAAAAAGCCGTCCCAAATGAAGCGTAAGGTTTTGTTTGGGACGGCTTTCTTATTGCTTCTTAAAGCAGCTTCTTAGTATAAAAATTAAAAGTTTTATATTAAGAAGCTGCTTCACAAAACAGAAAAACATACACACCGAAGACGCAACTTTGAATCTGATAAGGTCATATGGTAACTAAAACATATGGAGCCCTAGCTGTCGGCCTCGTTCGAGTTGTTCGCGTGCTCCAGGTGGATCCCGACGTGAAGTCCCGTGACCAGATTATCTCAAAGCCGTTGCGAGCCAGGGTTTCTTCGCTCGCGTACCGGCGCCGCTCCGGCCATGTCGACGGGCTGCTTTCCGGGCAGCTTTTGACCCCCACTCTCGCTCTCGTCCGGGCACCGTCCGCCGTCCGCCCTGCCATTGCGCCCGTCCGGCCTACCCAATTGTTGCCGCCCACGATCATCGATCCTACCATTGCGCTCGTTTCCGACTATTGCTCCCACGCCAAGGCCCGCAGCTCCGGTTGCCGGCTTTAATTTGATCCAGCAGTCGCACGCTGTTGTGTTCCAGATGAGTTCAAGCCTGGACACTCCATCCTTTGCCCTCTTCAGCGGCATTTCCTCCGGCTTTCCTCTGGTTTGATTTCTTTTTCTCCCTTCTTATGGCTGCTAGTCGTTTGCATGACCCGGATTTTCTAGATGGGATTTCACAGTTTCGTTCTTTTCGGGATCAGGTCTTGTCCGGGACCTCCTCCATGTCGAGTTTTTCACCTTTTAAGGTTTCTTTCTGCCACGGTCTTCCTGCTTTATTGATTTCTGATGAGGAATTGAATTCCCTAGCTGCACCTTTTGAGTTAGCCTTGGTTGGGAAATTTCCCGGTAGTCATCCGTCGCTGGAATCAATTCGTAATTTTTTCTTCAATCTTAAGCTGAATGGTGAGTTCTCTGTCACTGTTGTCAACAAGAATAATGTTTTGATTAAGCTTAGGAATGATTTGGATTACTATAGAGTTTTCACTCACCGTTCATATTTTGTCAACAACTGTTACATGAAGTTGGTTAAATGGTCTCCACATTTTGACGTTTGTGTGGAATCGCCTATCATTCTGATTTGGATTTCTTTCCCCAACCTTCGTCCCCATCTGTTCTCTTCTCGTATTCTTCAAGGGTTGGGGTTCATTTTTGGTCGACCCTTAAAGATTGATAACGCTACTGCCAATGGAACTAGACCGTCAGTTGCTTGTGTACTTGTTGATCTAGATATTACTAAGCGGTATCCGGATCAAGTTTGGCTTGGTTTTGAAACTTTGGGTTATGCTCAAAATGTGGAAATGGAAGTTTCCCCCTTATATTGTGGTCATTATAAAGCTTTGGGTCATTCAAAAGCTGATTGTATTGTGTTGCATCCTCATCCTGTTGTTGTCCCCGCACATGCATGTGATTGGTTCAGTTTTCGAACCTGTGGCTCATCATGTGGCTGAGATTGATATGGTGGTTTCTGGTATTTGTGTCCAACCTTTGGCACATGTGGATTTGGGTTTGTCTGCTGATGCTATTTGTTCTCCTCTGATTATGCCTAGTGTTGTCGAGTTAAATCTGATGCTATTTGTTCTCCTCTGATTATGCCTAGTGCTGTCGAGTTAAATAACTCGGATGTTGTTGCAGTGATTGACATGCCGCAAAACCCTTTGGTTGTTGAGGTTGATCCTGTAGATGCATTAGTTGCACCGGTTGTTGTGCCTGAGTCGGTTGCTCCTTCCTGCACTACCCCTTGCTTACTTGTCTCACCTGATGGAGTTTTGACTGCTGGTGTGAAAGATGATGCTCCTTCGGTTGGTATTGATGGCGAGGGTACCTTGCCTACTGTTGTTGGTTTGGGGAAGAAGATGGATGATAGGGGTGTGGGTGGATTTGATGCTATTTTGAATACAACTGTTGTGTTTTGTGCTCTTTCAGATGGCGATGATCTATTGTCTAATAATTTTGAAGAGTCACTTTTAAATGTGCCTTTGACACTTGTTTCCAAGGATGATCTGCAGTCTCACATTTCGAGGGATAGTGAGGTGATGCGGGGTGACTGGTTACATGCCGATAATTCCTCAGTTGATGGTGAAGATTTTTATGAGGATGATTTGGCTTCAAGAACGGAACTCATTAAAAGAAGTGGAAAATGTAGAGTTCGTAACTCTAGAAAGAAGTGATGCTCTTTTTTGCTTTATCTTTCTGTTGTTTAGATTCCTGTCTTTAGTTTGAATCTTTGGCTCATAGGTTTTCTTTTAAATCCTATATTTCTAGAGGGCTTTAGATTCTTTAAGGACTTGTACCCTTATTTTGTTTTAACTTGTTTGCCCCTTATGCGGGTTTTTTGGGGAAAAAAAAGCTTCTTTAAGAAGCAGAAATAAATCCGTCCCCAACAAAGCCTAAATCTCCACCATTCATGCTTTTTTCTTGCCGCATTCCAAAACCCGAAGAGGCCTCTTCAAAAATATAGCTCTCTTCTCCCCCACAGCATTTCTCACCATTCCACTTTCGATTTCTGATGCTTGATTTCGTCCACATTCGATGCAGAAACCCAAGCTAGAACTTCAACAGAATCCTAACCAACTTCATCACAATTCAACCCAACGGCTCTTTCCTCCTCACCTAACCCAACAACCGAATCTAACTACCTCCGGGATTGTCTACTCTGCTCTCAGGATTCAAAGTCACCCTACAGTGCTCTATGATAAAGGTGAAGAAGAGCAAAGCATTGATGCATGGTCGAGGGAATCTGAAGGTAGGAACTTCGTTTGGGACAGAGTTCATGAAATTTTTGTACTAAAAAACTGTTTTAGAAAACAGTAAAAAAAGTATCCCAAACGAAACCTCAGTCTTTCAGCAAAATAAACAAGTTTTCTTTTAATGTTTAAGTAACTTCAGTTAGAATTCTTGTTCATTTCTTTGTCACTTTTCTATGGTTGCAACCAAAAAGCAAAATTATGTGAATAATTTATGCTATTTATGATCTATTTTATATGTTTTATGGACTACCTGATTTTAACGAGGTTGTTGATATTCTAAGATGCTCAAGGCTGTGGATTTCAGAACACAATATCCTTATGTTAAACTCCTCTTAACAATGCCACAATAATTCTTATAGTGATTAATATTTTTGAACTTATAAAATTACAAATTATGGAGTAAATGAAATTTAACAAACTTATGCATCGACTTAGGCTTCGTTTGGGACGGCTTTCTTATTGCTTTTTGAAACAACATTTTAATACAAAAATTAAATTTTTTGTAAAAATAACTATTTTAAGAAATAGTAAGAAAGCCGTCCCAAACGAGGCCTTAATTAGTTTCCAGTTTTAGTGTCTGTTTGGGATGACTGGTGTGTTTTATAAAGTTGAGTTGGTTATGAAGTTGTTACGTGGAAAGTAACTTAGCTACTCTGGTTGTAAAAAAACATCTTCACATCACATAAGTTTTTAAAAAGTAGCGAGGAAGCAACAAAATTGTGGTTGCTGTATGAAAAGTAAAGCAACAAGAAAGTTGTCCACAAATAGACCCTTAGCTGTAAGAATTAACATTAGAGAATGTATGATTTATCTAGAAAATTAATGTTAAAGATTTTGTGCTAAGAATTTAATAACCTAGCATTAAATATGGTTTCATTTCAAAATATTTAGCTAAGTAAATAAACATTTAATTGCATAGCTTAACATTGTAATGCTAATAGTCTTTAGTTTATAAATAAACTATTTTTGTTTGTTCTAATTCAAATATTAGTTTTTCTTCTATTTTCTTGCAGATGAATTTTTAAGCAAATCTTATTTTTGCACATCATCTAATTATAAGAATGGGGAAAGAGAAGCTTGATATAAATTTCTAACGTAACATGCAAATTATATTGTTCAGGAGGAGAGCATATATAATTTGATTGATTGAATATAAATCTTTCTAATTATCTAATGTTCTCGACCATATTTTGATTTTTTTATTCTAAGAATAGAATATAAAATCCCCTTGCTTCTATTTACTTTCTGCTTTATTTGCCTTGAGGATTAATATTGTTGAATTCTGATTTAGGTGATTTAGAATTAAATAGCTTTAATTAAATTATTTATTTAGTTAGTTAATTTAATTAATGAATTTACTCACTACAAGAAAATCAACGACCACCGGTGAAAATTCTAACAAAATTTTTCTGTTGGTGATTAGTTGTCATATCGTTTTTTTCGTCAGAATTCATCGTCAGAGAATTTATTTGATTTTTGGTGTGGGTTTTCATCGGAAAATCTATCGAAAAATGCACAACTACCAAAAAATGGGGTTACTGCAGCATAATTTTTGACCTATCCCAGCGGTTTTAACCGCTACAATTTTACTTGCAGCGATTCTAAAACCGTTACACATCCGCTGTAATTGCAATACGCTGCAATGACATTCCGCAGTGGTTCAAGGATTGACGGGGTAGATATGCATACTTTAGTAGCGGTTATAACCGGTGCAAAGCTCCAGAATGGTGCAAGTTATTACCGCCACAAATAATGTAAAAAAAAACGATATCCAGTAGGGTGACCGCCACAATTCTGGACCGCTACTACATTCCAGAATTTTTTTAAAAAAAACGCAACACCTGAATGTACACAGAATACAAATATGAGATATTCACCAAACCGAAACCTAAAACTCGCATAAACAGGAGATGTAACTGAAACAAAAATACTAGTTAAATCATAAAGATTCACAACAACAACAAGAGAATATTGAACTATATAATTGAGTCACATGACTCAAACAAGAGAACATGAAAAACTTTTAATATAACATAAGAAGAAAGATGTGCGCTTTTATGCTTTTATTTATACTTCAAACTTTAAAAATTAATTGAAACGGTTGGTCCTAAACGGTAGAATAATTATATAAATACAAACAAACCAAAATGAGAAATAAAATCAATGGAGTTGCGGCATGCATAGCTGATAATTATTTGGATAGAAAAGGTCAAAAGGCCCAAGCGATCTTCTTATAGTTTAATAGTAAAGTTGATTATCTCTAGTGCAATCGTACAACTACAATCATAATAATAGCAATAGCATGATGTGGTTAGAATAGAATTTAATTTAAAGAAAGAAAGCTGTATTATGAGTTTATGTATGAGACATTGAGTCTTATCAAATATTGGATTTCCGATACAATTTGTTAAGTTATAAAAGATCATTGCAGTGCATAGACCATTGTGTAGCAACTTAAGTTCTAGCAGCATAATGAAAGCTTTAACTGGAACATGGTTTGATGTGAATAAAATATTTAGATGAAAACAAGAGAGAGCACCATAAATATCATGTTTGCATGGCTAATTCCTGAAAATCAAATGGAAAGCTACAAAAAAAAAAACGTTTGGGAACATTGCAAAATTTACAAAGGTCAAATGAAGATATAAAATGAGCTAGTTTCGCAAGAATTTGAAGCTTCAACCACGAGCTTGGCAACATACTTATAGCATATAGGATCTCCAAATATTTGAGCCTTATTAGGTTTCTATACAACCCTTTATAGCATGCTGGACATGGTTCATGCTTCTTATTGCACATTATTGGGATGATTTTTACTTGGCAACATACTTATTGCACATTCTTATAGCATATAGGATCTCCAAATATTTTATCTTCTGGCTCATAGTTGGAGATTATTTTATCCTTCCTGATTTTAGGGATTACATTAACAAAATAAGTAGAAGAACGAGAAGAAGAAGAAGAGGAAGAAGCAGAGGAGACTCACAATGAAGTCAGCGGGATGTCGTCGCGTGAGGAGAATACTCAGCAAATGCGAGCGGGGGAGAAGAGGGATCGGAGACGAACACTCGAATGGTCCGCTTGAATCGCGCGCAGGAAGAAGAAGAGGGCTCCGGAGATTATTCACGAAATCTCCGCTTGTGTCGCGCGCAGGAAGGAGAAGAGACCGGGCAAACAACACCGTTTAAAATCGGTGCTAATTGCACCGGTTTTAACCGGTGCTAAAATAGATTTTTAGAAGCGGTTCTAAAACCGCTCCTAACAACTGGTGCAAAAAATCTAGATTTCTAGTAGTGTTATTTCACCCCAACTAGTTTTCTTCTTTCATTTTCATATTCTTCCTCCCAAAATTGAAGGTTTCGCCTAATCCGCCTCCCGTCACCATTCCAGGTGATTTTTCACTCATTTCTTTCTATTTCTTCAAGATTTAAGAGGTAAAACTCATTCTCTTTGCTAATTTCTCTTTTTAGGAAATTTGAACTGTTAGAACACATGATATTTGACCCCCATACAGATGTGTGCACTGAATCTATTCTTTTGGAACCTTGCTCTCTTTAATGTTTAAAAAATAATAAGTATTTACTTTCTAGAATATAGTCTTCACAATAGGTGGATTCGATATATTTTAAACTTAGAATTTTATAGAGTGAATATCATTGAGTTTTTTTTGTCTAATGTGGGTTAACTTTTGATGCTATATAAATGAGTTTACCTCTACATAGGAAGCAACCTTTATTGTTTTATATTGATATTTGTGTGGAGAATGTCCTCCGTATTGCGCTAAACAAACATGAAGGCTTTGAATGTGGATCATTTTTAAAAAGTTAGTCATTCAATAAATATCATATTTGTCTTAAAGAGGTTGAATAAATTTTTATTTAATAATTACAAATACAGTGCATTTCTATATCATCAAATAAATAGTAAATATATAAGAGCAAGTTTAACGCTTGGTCTTATTATTACATGTGATATTCACAGAGTTTAACTATCTCATGATTAAGATAAACTTGTTGATGTGAATGGACCGAATGGTGATTGAAGCTTCTTGGCATTATATATATTGTATAATTAAGGGCTCTTTATGGATGTTCAAATGCACTTTCATAATGACTATTATAATAATCATATTGAGGATGTTCAATGTGACGATTATATTAAGGGATATGAGCCATCAAGTCTCACACATTGTAATAAATATTTTTGGACATAATTATTCAACATTTAAATAGACCATTAATAGTGGATATTATAGCTCTTATTATAGTAGCTCATGATAATAACATATTTTTCTACAATTATTTTTCTTAAGAGTTATTAATCCAAGGTTCATATGAAGATCCAAGAGGAGAGGAGTTGGATATATAATAGAATATTAGCGGGATGAAAAGTATTAACATATGAATTCATTGAAGAAGTTGGATATGTTATTCACGTAACATGTCAACTACCTTCATTTAAGTCAGATGGATTATTCAGATGTGCATGCTCGAAGGATAAAAATCAAGCTATCTTAACCCAATGAGGTTAAAGTTGATTTATATTATAGAGGATTTGTCCCAAAATATTATTATTGGAGTTCATATGGAGAGTATGAGCCACATACATATACCCATTGCAGTCCCTCCACATCATCAAGAATACTAGAGGAAGATCAAATTAATATAACGTATGAAGAATTTTTTTTTGATGCAGCATGTGATGGGTGTAAATAATATTATATTTTATATATTAAATTTTCAGTAAAACTATTTTATTTTAGTTTTGTTTGTGAAAGAAAATAGATAAAATATACAAAAAATTTAAGTATGGTATATCATCACGGTGTCAGACACTGCACTGCCATGGCACCATCATTGACACTGTTAGAGTGCCCAATATGGATATAGTGGCACACAATATTTGTTTAACAGCGCCGCGGTGTCAAAGAAGTTAGCACAGCAAAGACCAGTAGTCTTTGTCTACACAGCACCGCAACACCAATTTCCAGTACTGCAAAGCCAAGGGTAGTGCCACATGGATGCCGCAGCACTCAACCGTCAGTAGTGCCGCATCGCAACAGTTGTAACTGTTAAGGAAACGATCTGCCAGCGAAGTAATGCATATATTCACTAAATAGTGGGTCCACATTAGCAAGCGCTGCAATGGAGAAATCCTTCAGTATTGCTGCATTAATTCATTTTATAGGCGCCACAGCGCAAGTGTCTCGAGCGTCATAGCACCAGAATCCATTTTGTATTTTTCTATAAATTGTTCGTTTATAATGTTTGCATGGGAGTTCATTCACTTAATTAATTTTAGTCTTTCTAGTGCTTCTCTGTAATTTCTTTATGAGTGACAACTAAGAGAATTTAGAGAGCACTAGATTCACTTCATAAGAGTATTTGGTCAATATTTGTGGAAGAAATTCTGCAAGTTGAAGGAGGACTGTAGAGGAAATCATTGAACCCATCCGGTGATATCTTTTCTTTTGTACTTTTTTTCTTTTATGCAATTAATAAAAAAAGAGTTTGTTTTACTTATTCTTCATGTCTGACTAAATTCTCTAGTTTGATGAATTGATTGTGTAAATGGAATGTGGAGTACTAATGAGTTCTCTTTATTAATATTTTAATAATATTTTAAATATATCATGTCTTCATTTAATATACATAGTAATCATATGTGTAGTTAATATCATGTGTAATGTGGAGCCTAAGAATAAAAAAAAACATGCACAATAGGTATATTATATTATGGTATGATGTAAGCATAAGTATAGTACTTGACATATACCATATTGATAGATATGAATTATAATGATGGAGTTTTAACAGTGCATGTTTTACTTACTCTTCTAAGATTTTCATATAGTGACAAACTATGGGAGTTTGGAGTAATATTGAGGTTAGAATGATTTAATATGTTATTTATCTCTTTATGCTTGAATGACCGGTTGGTGATGCATATGCTCGGAATAACATCAATATAAAAGAGAATAATTAGGAAACATATTGTATTTATATTCTATCAATCCAAAATATTTTATCTAAATAGTATTTCATTTAAATTTTTTATTAATTTTAAACTAAGTGATTGAATCTCTATCAAAACTTATTTTTATTGAGTAGGATAATTATTATAATTGTAGTAAATAGTATTAGTATTTATAAGTAAATATTTTTTCTTGTGAGATCGATACTCCACTCTATCACTATATTACTTGATTTGATACATATACTTGTGTATATTAAGCAGGGTTTTTATAATTTTTATATCAAAGAAAATCTAAGTTTTGTTTAGGGATTGATAGATACCTAAATCATTTCATAATTTTTTGGGTTATGAGGATAGAGAAAAATGAGAGAAGTCCAGTGATTTTATTGCTCAAATGCATAGATGTTGAGACAAATAAGTTATTGTCCTCAAAATTTGCTCTTTGATTCCTTATATATGAGAGTAGATGCAAGATTATGTAAAAAAAATACTAAAAGATAAATACACAAATGACATAATATGACCTAATAATATCTTACCACAAAAAATAAAATATGTTAATAATATCTCATTAGTTACACGAGATATGCATTAACTCTATGATTTTAGAGTATGTATTTTCAATAAGACTTAAAATGCACGATTAATCTTATTTTTCATAATATGATTATTTCTTAACAATTAAAAACATATTAAAATTATGAACTATTTATTTAATAAATTTTTTGAAATTTACATTAATATGATCATCATCACAATTATTTATAATGTTTCATTTATTAATTCATTATAAAAAAAATTATTTCATATACTTTTTTTTTTGGCACCTGGACTCCTTCAACAACAATTTAATCAAATTGACGGTTCAGATTAATTTATACACCAAAGCCTTAGAAAGGAGAACGGTAGCTCTGCTGGAGCACTATCAATAGATGACAATCTTATAGACATGGCTACGTACAACGATAGATATAAAAAAAAAAAAAAGCTTTAACTAAATTAATTATTTAGTTAATTAATTTAATTAATGAATTTATTTATTTTTTCTCATTTTATTAGTTATTTATTTATTAAATTTTTTTCTTTTGGCTTAACTAACCCTATCCTATTTCTTGGTTATTATTAATACTAATGTTAGCATCCTAACTCTAATTTGAATTCTTTCGATTTATTGCCTAAAGTGGAGCAGGAGCTCAAGAAGGGTTGGAGTTTTCAGTTCTTTATGGTTCGGGTGTGTGAGAGCGAGGTTAGTGCAATAAAGAGGGTTAGGGCTTGTGGTGCTAGATTTTTTTATGTGAAAGAGAAGGAAGAGGGGGTTGAAGTCGGTGGATTTATGAGTATGTGAAAAAGGTGAATCATTCTTGTTTCTCTCTTGCTTGTTCTTCTTCTCTGAGAAAGATAATCGTTCGTGATAGTTAGTTGGAAGTCGAGTTTGTGCAGTATGAGCTTGTTCCTTTGCAATAGTATGCAATATGCTAAAATGAATGTATATTTCCTGTTGTTCTTGTTTTAAAGATCTATTTAGATCTTGTTGGTTGAGTTATTTGAGGCTATTACCAATTGTTTCTTATGGCTATTTCAATTTTTGAGGCTATTGGTAAAAATTTGATGTTAAATTTCAATAGTTGTGTTATTTATTGCTATAAGCATTATTTAATATTGATTCGGACGATTGTAGTAAATTGTTTGTTGTTATTTGGAAAAATTAGAAGCAATTTTCTATAATACGAGTCTTGTATCATATTTTATCTATACATATTTGAATAAATGATGATAAACGAGGTTGTTCATGGATATAGAGTTCGTAAGAATTCGAACCACGTAAATTCTTTCTGTTCTTGTTATTTCATTTCCTTTACAAGAACTATTTAAAATTGTTTCTTTCATATTTATGAAATCAGTAAACCTTGTTTTATAGTTTGCCTTCGTGATTAAATTTCGTAAAAGCTCGATTTACAAATAAGTCTTTAAACCTACAATCACGTTGAAAGCTAAGAAAGATTGGGTGGTTGAATTTATTTCTTCCCAACACAATAAATTCAAAATTTCGTGGGTCTTATTCGCAAAATTGGCTATGAAAAGTTGAAAACGAAAAAGAAAGAGAGAAAGACAGAAAATTAAGAGAAGTTATGTGATTTTTTTGCTCAAAAGCATAGATGTTGAGACAATAAGTTATTCCCTTAAATTTGCTCTCTAATCCCCTATTTATATATGAGAGTAGATGCAAGATTATGTAAACAAAATTATTAAAAGATAAATACAAAAATGACATTATTTGACCTAATAATATCTTACCCCAAAAATAAAATATGCTAACTATATCCCATTAGTTACACCAGATATGCATTAAAACTTTCCATAACTCTATGATTTTAAAGCTTGTATTTTCATTAAGACTTAACAGGCATGATTAATCTTATTTTTCACAATATGATTATTTCTTAATAATTAAAATTATCTTAAAATTATGAACTATTGATTTAATAAAATTTTTAGAATTTTCATTAATTTGATGATCATCACAATTATTTATAATGCTTTATTTATTAATTCATTATAAAATAAATACGGCATCTGCTCTCATTTTACCGAGACTGCCATTCTTCGGAGTTTTCGAAGGTCGCGCTGCGCTCGCTCGCAAACATTTCTACCGACCACCTCCTCGTCGCTGGCGTGTCTGCGATCGTACGCAGCTCTTTCTTCCACTGTCTCTCTTTTTCGCTTCTCCCATTCTGTCATGGCGTCGGCATCCTTCATTGTATGCTCTTCTGGGATGGCGGGAAAGTCTTCTGTCACCTCCTCTCCAACGATAAGATCGGCGTCGGCGCGTTTCCCCCCTGCCGTTCTCGCTATCAAGTCACGCTCTTCGTTTCATAGATCGGGGCTCAGATCGGAAGCCTTTTCCACTTTCGCTGGTAACGCCCTTAGGCATTTTCACATAGGCCGTACATTTGGTAGATTAAAGTTTCGATTTTGCTTTCTCTTTGAGGTTCTGGTTGTGGTGGTTGATCTCTGCGATTGACCTGAGATCAATCTGCAGCTTACCTAATTTTAGGGTATGCGTGATTTGAACGAATTGGGGGTAATTTAAATGCATTTTACTTCGCAATTTCACATTTGGTATTTGATTCCATTGCAACTGATGGTATTTGGCTTTACCTAAGAAATATTTAGTTTCATACTGATCATACAATAATTAACCATACAATAATTTTCTTGTTGCTAATTTTTTCCCTCAACCAAACTAGTGAGGCAAAACAACTTTTTATTCAATTAATTTATCATCTTATTGTATTTTCTTTTCATTTCCATTATTGTAATTCCTTGAAACCAAATAAAGCTATAGTCTCCATGGGATTTAAAGAATGAGATCATTCCTTGCGGTTGGAATATTTATTTTTTCCTTAGCTCCAGTACTCAGAGGAGCTTTATATTTTGGTGTTTGTGCCCCAATTTTCTTAAATCGCATAATGCTGCTGTGTTAATGTGGAATGCTTGGGAATTTTCCGAACAGTTTATGATATTTGAGCAGTTTTACTAACTTCACCATATCCTATGTTTGGGGAAGTGGTTTCTTAATGCTTGTGAGCTTCACTATGAAGTATGGTTACAGTTAGAATAGTTTGAAATGGCTTTTCCACTTTAGTGCATGTCAAGTCTTCAGTTCCAATTTATAGCTTCAACATAGTGAACTAAGCGCACCTGACAGCAAGTTGTGACACACATATACACTCAAACTTCTTCAAATGCTTTCCTCTTTTGTTGTATTCGCTGCCTAAAACTTCATAGCAAGCATTTATGTGCATTCATCTCTTTCATCTGGTTATAATTTATAGATCTATTGCCCGGAGTGAAGGCTCAGGTTGCAGCTACTGAGCATGCAAGTATTGACCTATCTAAAAAGGTTGAAGGTCCTGTTGTCATTGTCACTGGAGCTTCTAGAGGAATTGGAAAAGCAATTGCTTTGGCATTGGGTAAAGCTGGTTGTAAGGTTAGTGAAAGCGTAAAATGCTATGGATATACATAGTTAGACTTTAATTATACCTGGCATTGCATTGTTTGGTCTGTAAACTTCACTGATTTGTTGGATTTTTGCTATCTTTCTGCCATGTTGGTTCTTATCCAAAATTATCTTACTGAGTCTGCTTTGACCTGTTGATGCTTTAACTATTATAATTTCTCGTACATCAATATGGTGTATTAAAAACATGAATATATTTATGTATGCAATCCTTGATATTTTCTTTCCGTTTTTTTTCTTTGTTTTGTTTAACTCCTAAGATCTCTGTGTTAGGCCTGACAACATGTCAAATGGTCTTCTTTCATCTTATGGGCAGCTTCACCTGGTCCATATTAACTCTGTCACGATTATGCACAGATAGAGTAGCTACATTAGTTTAACTACCTACTCCGAATGAAGCTCTAGTCTCTTCATAGAGGCTTGGCAGTTTGAACTTGGCTCTCACTGATTAATGCAATTTTCCTTTTCACCAAATTATTATTAGATTGTATTAAATATTGACCATGTTAGCCCATAGCATGACAAGTTTTATTTTGATGATGACAAAATTTTGTTGGTTAGTTTATATGGATTGTGATGCAAATTGATTTTTCTCCCAAAGTAAATAAATAACTATCTAAAATGGTGTAAATAAATAAGTTGGAGATTAGCTCATACGAGTTAAATAAAATAAGTTTGAGACTAGCTCCTCTGAATTTATGCATCACGTCACAACATATCTTCTCCCCCTTTATCAACATAAAAAATAATCCAAGGAAGATATTGAATCTATAACTTCTAGATCATAATGGAGGAAACCGAGGTATTTTTCTAGGACACTACACACATATATATATATATATATATATATATATATATATATGTTAGTCAGGGACTTTTTTACACCTTTTTTAATTTATATTTATAGATTTCAAAATTTGAGTAATGAAAATTGTAAGTTTATAGCTTCTTTAGGTTTTGGCTCTCATGAATAATGATAATTCAACACTTCTTTTTATGCTTAGAGGATTTAACATCAACATTTTGAGGATTTAGTGATTTACCATGTATCTTCTTCGTGGCACTCTTCTCCATTTTCCAACTCAATTCTAATGGGATTCCACTATTCCACTGCATATGCTTTCTGCATCAGGTTGTATGAATTATCAATCTAATGGAGAGGTACTAAGAGTTTCTCGAATATACACCAACATATGTTTCTTTGGGTGATACTTCTTTTGCAGGTTGACTAGGCAGCCCTTACCAACCTTTGCATTTTTCCTTTTGAGGCTCCATTTCCCTATTGGCTTACTGGCAAAGCCTCACACCTTTTGCAGAGCCTCACATAGCATTTGTGCTTAACTTTAAAATGGAAAGACTTGCTTCAGACGATTAAAACTATGATTGCATTCACCATTAAAGGCTAGCCATCAATCTCTTATTCTGGAGATGATTTTCGCTTGCATTGAATGTTGCTTGGCTATCAAAATTAAAATATAAGCGCTCAATAGAGCTGATCAATCCCTGTATCGACATTTAGAAGAGATGTTTTATTATCATGTTTATGTTGAAGTGAATCTTCGTGGCTCTCAGGTCTTGAATAGTTTTTATTTCATATACTTTGAAAAACTTGTGAATCTAAAAGAAAAATGCGCATTACTTTTTTTCATATCACGAATTGTATCATTGTTAGTGTTAGCGCTCAGAATTATGACTATCAGGCATCCTCCTTATAAACATTTATCCCGTTGTATGTACGAATCATTAATTAGTATTAATCAATTGACTCAATTTCAGGTTCTTGTGAACTATGCTCGCTCATCTAAAGAGGCTGAAGAAGTTTCAAAAGAAGTAAGTTCTATATCTCCACTTGGTAAACTGTGCTAAGTGTTTTTCCATGTTCCTACTTCTGGTAAATGAAGAAATTCTTGCTTAAACTTGAAGTTATTCAATGAATTAATAGGAATTTCTTGTTCGTTAATAGAAAATAATCAGAAAATTGACCAGACATGGTGTACCATAATTGTCATAGAATTCATCATTTGAACATGTCAGCAACACCAGGAATTGCTTGTTTATTAACAGAAAAAAAAAAAAAAAAAAACCCCAGACCCGTTAGACAATAAATTTCTGAACCCAACATTTGAACATATTAGCAATACTTGAGGGACTTTAGTTTTACTTCATTCTGATCATTGGAAATGTTGCAAGTAGTATTGTTTTAGGAAGTCAATATAATTTGCTTTGGTATTGGAGCAGCATATGGAATATGAAAATTGAGTTCGCAGTATTTGATCTTATCCAGTTAGTTATATGTCAAAGAGTGGTAAATAAAGTAAATGTGGTACTTGTTGCACTATTGATTTGCAGGAGATATAGAAGAAACCCAAATAGTGATTACTTGACTTGGAAGGTGAATCTTTTTATACAAATATAACCGCATTAATATTTTGACCTTTAGTTAAGAATTATTCGACTATTTAGTGGTGTTCTTGATCAGCTGATGTGCTATTGTGTGGATGTGCCACAGTGGCTAGTACTCATAATTGTTTTTTTTAGTAGTCTCCAAACAAGCTTCCTATGAACGCACATAATTGCCTTTTTGGGGGTGTGTTCAAGGACCACAACAAATTATAAAAAAATTATCCTGATTCTCTTCAGATTGATGCATCTGGTGGTCAAGGCCTGACATTTGGGGGAGATGTTTCGAAAGAAGACGATGTGGAAGCTATGATCAAAACTGTAAGATAAAATTACCTCATGACCTTATGATCAAAAGATTAAAGCTGACGTGGTTGAATTAAAATTATTCCAGGCAGTAGATGCATGGGGAACAGTAGATATATTGGTCAACAATGCAGGTTCGCTACTTGTTACTTCTCTGTAACCTTTTGCAGTACTTTACAAATTACCAAGGCAAGCTTGTGATCTCAGGAATTACAAGAGATACTTTACTAATGAGAATGAAGAAATCTCAATGGCAAGAAGTAATTGATCTGAACCTTACTGGCGTTTTCCTATGTACGCAGGTACACATTGATGTGCACGTTATTTTTCAGCACGTTACTTTGTCTTTCATCTGTGTTGAATTCATTGCTTTTTCTTTCAGGCTGCAGTTAAAATAATGTTGAAGAAGAAAAAGGTATCTCAAGATCCAAACTAATTCTTTCACTTCAAGTCATTTTAAAGTGTACTTTCCCGATTTATGACATCTTTCCTAATTGTGTAGAATCGATGACATCCTCTTTGTGTTTTATTACATGAACTTATTATTAAATTGTTAACTTATTAATTGTTTTCCAATTGACGGTGTAAAATCTTGTTCCTAAAATATATTTATGCACCTTACTGAAACATGAGTTAAGCATTCTTATTCTTGTGTTTTAGATTGAAATTCAGATTGATTCTAGCAACTATAAGTTCTCTTCCATTTTCGGCCATCACCTTAAACTCTTCAGGATCAATGGTGTGGTGTGCGGAGTTAATGGCATTGCTTACAATTGTAAAGACTTGCATCCAAGTAGGCAGGTTGATAGGAAACACTTGAACATTTCAAATAAATCCTAGAAATTTTGGAAAAATAGCGAGGAAACTCTTCCAAATTCCAATGAAAACCTAAAAAACAAAAGTTTTTATTGTAATAGTCAAAGATACGACATGAAAATACTAAGAGTTGATCCTCAATTCGAGAGGAGGATCTATCTCTCCCAAATCTCTAGACGCCTTTAAAGCTCAAAAAAACCTAAACCTAAGAGATCTCAAATTTCAGCTAAATTTAAGATGCCCTGAATCTAGGAAAATAAATTATTTAATGCATACAATTCAACAGGAAATCCCTAAACATCCCCTACTTTGAAATTTCCCTCCCAACTCCCTTCAAAAACCTTTCTAAACAGCTCCTTGAAGAGTTGGGCGGTTGGCTCCTACGTACAGGAGGCGGAGAATCTTCCACCTATTTCCTGTAAGTCGGTCCCATATGGACCAGCTGGACTGGTCCAGTGGACCGGTCTAACAATACTTCCCTCCCAAAGATCCATCTTATCCGCAAGGCGGAAAGACAACATCTTCCCCCATTCCCTCATCATCACAAACGGTAAGAACTTGAAGAGTTCTGTCCTTGCACCTGTGTCTTGGAGTATACTTCTCGTCACATTTGAAACAGAGCCCCTTCGCCCTCTTCTCTTGTCATTCCGTTTATGTGAGCTTCTTAATGTTGTCCCCATATCTTCCTCCTATAGTCTTTTCCTTTGAAGCCCCTCAAAGAATATCTGGTGTTGGCTCCTTGGATGCCAATAAGGTGATGGTCATCCTGTACGAGCCTCCTGAGCTTTTGCCTCCCGTCCCTCTCTCCAAATGTCTCCAAATGTCTCTAATCCTCCACCAACTGAGCTAGCTTATGGCCTATCCCAAGTCATATGGCCTCATCACTCTAACTACTGTCCGGATATCTGATGTCAGTCCCTTCATTAAATTTTCCTCTACCAGTCTCAGGAAGGCAGCCCAATCTGCTAGCAAGGTACTTGAACATCTCCCGGTATTCCATCATTGAACCATTCTGTGTCATGACGAAGAACTGCTCGTAGAAGTCTCCTCCACTTCCTGTTTGGAAACATTCTACCAAACAATTCTTGAACTTCCTCCAACTCCGTTTGGGTTGTCGCATGTCCCTCCACTGGTATCAAGCCAAAGCCTTCCCTTCCAAACATAGGCCAACTGCCGTCAATTTCTCCTCCTCTGTCAACCTGTTGACAGTAAAGTACATTTTTACCATATAGATCCATCCATGTGCATCATCTCTCTCAAAAATAGACATCTTCAGTTTCCTCACACTCATATCTCCTCCGTCAACTTTGCTTCCTCCAAAATTTCTCATTCCCCAGGGGGTGGTTCCCTCCAATTGTGCCAATCATCCCTCCTTCGCTCGCACCCAAACATTTCACCACAAGCCCATCTTCTCCCTTCAAATTCAACACTCCATCGATCATATTCAACCCCTCTCCTTTCAAATTCGACACCTCTTCGATCATAATCAAGTCATTGCCTTTCAAATTCAGCCCCTCTTCTTTAAAATTCAACATCCCTCCACTCATGCACAGTTCCCTATGCCTCTCCACATACCCTTTACCCGACTCCTCCCTAGGAAGCCTTAGGGGAGGCATTTTTTTGTTCCCTCTAAAATCTCCACCTCTTGATCTTCCCTTCGTCTGATCGGCTTAGGATTTTCCCCACTTCATTGGCTGTCGGTGCATCCCCTCACCTCCAACGACAATATTTATGTTTGGCCCTCAATCACTTTCTTTAGCATCTCCTCTAGGAAGGAAAATTTCAAATTGAACTTATCATGGATGGCTGAAATATCCTTTTTTATATCTAAAACTTAAGTTTGGAGATCTGAAATTTCAGATTTAATTTCTCTGATCTCCCCTTCCAATACTTCCACCTTTCTTCCAACCATGGGAACTTGGATTTAGGCTCCAATAGCAAAGATAACAAGTTTGATGCGAATCTGGCCTCCGAAACAGCAAAAACAGCAAGATCGGAGTGGGAAACATCGTAGAAATCAGCAATGAAGACTTCTATTTCAGTCCAGGAAATTGCTCCGATACCAATTTGATAAGAAACACTTGAAGATTTCAAGTAAATCCTATCAATATCGGAAAAAAAAACGAGAAAACTCTTCCAAACTCCAATGAAAATAAAAAAAAACATAAGTTTTTATTGCAATAATCAAATATACGGCAGGAAAATATCAAGATACTGTCAATACTCAATTCGAGAGGAGGATATATCTCTCCCAAATCTCTAGATACAGCTAGAGCACAAAAAAACCTAAATCTAAGATATCTCAAATTTCAGCCAAATTCAAGATGCCCTAACCCTAGTAAAACAAACTATTTAATGCATACAATTCAAAAGGAAATCCCTAAACAACTCATACTTTGAAATTTCCCTCCCAACTCCCTTCAAAAACCTTCCTTGAAGAGTTGGGCGGTCGGCTCTTGCGTATAGGAGGTGGAGAATCTTCTGCCTATTTCCCGTAAGTCGGTCCCGTATGCACTGGCTAAACCGGTCCAGTGGACCGGTCTAACAGAGGTCTAATCTTATAGTCAGTTGTGGAAATGCGAATATCAAAAAACTCTTATTAAGAATGGTGTGTGTTGGAATATCACATCAATAAATAGGTATGGAGTTTTATCTTTTATCTATGATAACACTCTCGTATAAGCCTCCTATGCTGCAAATATATAGGGAGGTTATCAAAATTTATGCACCTTTCTTCCAGCTATCAGTGCATACAGGACACTGAATTTATCAAATCAGAGCCACTCATGTGCGATTCGGCCAAAGAATGATGATGAAAGTGAAATTTTGTGGGCACGACACCACATAAAATTACCCAAATAACTTTCAATTGTCAAACGAATTGTGCCGATGCGGTCAGAGTATCAAATTTACCTGGGGAGACCCCTCGCAATTGAATTGAGTGATGGCGGTTGAAATCAATAGTTAAAGATGTGATAATGCAAAACATTGTCTGAACGTCGCCCGTTTGCTGAATGGACTTCACCGTTGTGTATGGAACATCGAAAATACCTAGAATTGACATTAATATTGTTAGGATAATTGGACAAGTGAAAAAAGCAAAACTGGCATGAGTTTCAATGACAGTGATATTGTCGAAAATATCTTGCACAAGCCGCCTCAACCCATGCCAAAATCCTGTCTGCCACCCAATCCTATCCTATTCTATGCCCTCTTTCTGTCAGCATGTTTACAGCAGTGATATAACTAAAAAAATATATCGGCCTCAACCCGCCTCTACCAACTCATTTCAGCCAAAAAAAAAACCAATCTAGTTCCTGCTCTCTACCCGCATTTCACTGGTCATACATCTCCCTTCCCTCTACAAGCACTGCTCTTTCTTCCTCTCCCTCACAACCGATTCCTCTTTCTGCTTTTGCACTCTAGCAGCCAAGATCCAGCCTTTCTTGCACGTGAAAACCTTCTACAAGCCTTTGCCTCCACTACAAATTCACCTTCACTCACCTGATCTCCTTCCCATCAGTAGCCGTCAACCAACAGCAGCTCTCCCATCCTCATACACAGTTCCATATAGAAGCTCTTCTCCACTCTAAGTTGCAGCCATTCATCCCAGCAAACACACCACCTCTCTTCCATCCTTCATCACTCACCTAGCTTGCAAGCAAAGCACCTAAAGCTGCAGCCCAAACCCACTCCAGCAGCTCCACCGCAGCCCAAACGACCCTTTCACACCAAAGCAACCAGCCACCTCCTACACTCAATAGAACCCATTGCTAAAAACACCTCCTCCAAACTTGCTGCAGCAAGCTATTAACCCAGAAACCACAATCCCTCAAGCAAACGCTCTCTTCCCTAGCATATTCCTCCTCCCATTCAGCAAACCAAATCAGCCCCCATCTAAAACCGCCCTCCCCTCACTAATCTCTCCCATTTCCTGTAAACAGAGAGACCATTCCTTGCATCCCTCTATTACTACTATTAGTTAGAAAAAAAAAGAGAGAAAAAGTGCTTTCATTGCCCTCGACACCATTGTTGTCGCCATTATCGTCATTGCTCCCCGCACAAGGTATAACGTTCTCCAAACATTAAAAACCCCAAAAATCTCATTTTCGGCGCAATGAACGGACCACCTATAAATGCTTTTCTTATTGTGGTAGGAGGGAGCTCGGTTCCATGCTTGTGGCATGACAGGGACACTCCTAAGTACTCGTGCACGTGCTTCTATGCTTGCAGGAAAAAAACTACAAATTCTTCACACAAGTACCTCAAATACTACCCATACATGCTTTTTTTGGCGTGGTGGAATTGAAAACCACGACCGTGATGTCGCGTGTATATCCAAGACGCTTGTCTTAACCAGAATGATTCTATTTTTGAAATGCCCTCAAATCCTCATGCAAATTATTTTGGGCTGAAATAGTAAAAAAATAAAAAATCAAGAAAATATAAAATCAAATCATTCAAGTGAAATTTATTTCCTACAAACTTAAAGCAAAAATTTATCCATCTGCTACAAGTGTTCATAGAGGATAATGTTCAAGGATAATCTCAGCTCACAAATGACCAATGTTTTATCGTGTATTGCTACAATTCATTCTA